ATTAAGTTTTCATTTAACCTTGGTTTTAATGTTTCTCGATGTAACATACGTTTATCACTCATTACTTTGCCAAGCTAGATTAAAATTATTTCGAAGTAAAAAAAAAAAAGAAAAGACAGAAAATTGCAAACATACGACAAGAAATTCATGTTTATCAACCAATTGATTACCTACATATAGAAAAATAATATTGATATTAAGCATAAGTAATCAATTCTAAGAATGATAGAAAAAGAAATTTCCGTTGTTAGCTGATAAATATAAAAAAAAACCTGTTTCATTTCCGCTCAATATAACAAGAACTTCCTACAAATTTTGTTTTATAGCGTCAACTCGTACACTTAAACAAAGGTTTGACGAATGATTTTTTTATTATTATAATGCTATCATGCAATGAGAATTGGTTGCAAAACATCTGTCGCATCTATTTACCGGTCTACTAATTATTTATATAATAAGAAAGACCTCTCTTGAAAAAATATTAAAGAAAATTAAAACTATGATCAATCAAAAATATTATCTACAATGAATAGTTCATTGAACAATCAAAGAGACTTATCACATATTCAAAAAATGCACATTTTACTTGAAATTTATTTAAAACAAGATTTATTTCAAATGATACATGTTACACTTTTCTCTATACTATCAAATTTATTATTTTTAAGGTGTCCGTTGTACGTTCATGTTTTGCTTATTGATTTACTCAGCAATCAATCACTTATATAAGCCCCAACATAATTCTCTGAGGATGTTATGGCACGAAAGTTTTATTCTAATACACTACTGCTCACTTTTTTCCGATACAGTCTGATATTTTGTCTAGAAACTTTCGATCTAGTTCTTAGTTTGACCAACATAGTATTTCGATTGAAACAGCGATTTTTTTTTATCAATGTCGATTTCCGCAGATTATTTTGTACAGAATTCAGTACTGAGACTTTCGCATCATAGGTCATGATTATTTTTCACATTTTTATTAATTAATCTTTATTGTTTAAATAAAATAATTTAAACATTACCATCTGTGTCAAACATATTAAATGCAATTTGAAATTGTGTAGATGGTTCTAAAATAATAATAATAATAATAAATCAATATTATTAATTCAAAAACAATAATCTTTACTTGTTAAAATCACCCATAGAAATAAATATTCAGAATATGAAATAAGACCTTGAAATAAAAAAATGAAAAAGAAATAAAATACTATAAAATTTATTATTATAAAAATCTAACCAGATTCTTCAAGATTGCGAAAAAATCTTTTTGATCCTCGATGTTTTGGTGGTGTACTATATAAAATAGATTGCACTTTGTCATCGGTTAAATGTCGACGACCAATACGAGCTAAAACAAAAAAAAAGGCCAACAATTATTCTTACAAAATAAAATTCATTTAATCATTCTATTCATACGTCTTGGTCGTTCTGCAATAACTGATTCAAGAAAATCCACCGGTGTCTAAAAGAAATCATTTTAAAAGAAATCATCATTAAATATAAAATTAATTTACCATATATATTTCTTCATTATATTCAATAGAAGCAAATTCTCGAAAACGTCTTTCACGTATATTTAATGCAGTTTCATCAGTTTTCTTTGATTCATTTTTATCATCGTCATCATCATCATCATCGTCGTCATCATCATCATCAATTTTTTTATATTTTTGGTCCATAAAACGTTGTCGATTTGATGCTATTTTTGCATTTCTTCGTTCCTTTAAAATAAATATTTGATTACTAATGATAAAAAAATCAAATTAATTTTCATTTACATATTCAGAAGCGTCGACTTTTAATAAAGAAAATAAACGGTTTCGTATTTGATTATGATCATGATTATATAAGTAATATGATGATGTTAATGTAACACTTGTAATAGCAAGCGTACGTAAATGTTTAACTATAAAATTTGTCATAATATTACATCTGAAACAAAAAAAAAGAAAATCAATTAAGTTTTGTCTGTATTTGACGAATAATTTGAATAGGTACTAAAAGAAAAAGAAATTTGAAAAAGAAATTTTTTGACTTGATTTCTACCTGAAATCGATATTGATCGAGATGAAAGTAAATCTAAAATAGTTGCTAAATGTTTTATTTTTTTCATATTTGATAAATCAAGAAAATGGATTTGAATTTCAAGACATCTGTAAAAAAAAAATAATTTGATATGAATAAAATAAAAACTATCATCTTACAATTCATAATAAAATTGTCCAATAATAGGAAATTGATCATTAAGATGTGTAATTTCAGATCGAAAATATGGATCATTAAAGTCAACATCATTTTTAGTTGTATCAAGAAATAGACGAATAAGTTTAGGTAATTGATTGACTAATTTTAATATTGCTGCACCTTGTTTTTCAAGTGTATTCCTAAAGATTAAAATATATAGGAATAGATTTAGCTTTAGATAAATTTTGAATTATTATTAAAAATAAGCCACAAAGAATGATATTAGGCTTAATCCTTGTTATTCAATGTTTGATTCCATGTCGCACGTTTGTTTGCATTACCACGGATATACCGAATGGTCTATGGGCGATTCGAAGCACATGACATGGATATCGCTCTCAAAAACAGTGATCGAACAATTTGTCACAAGTGTGTGAGTGACGACCGTAGAAATAGAAAATCTCACCCGAACGAGAAAATAACTCCAAGAATTTCCAAAAAAAAGTTTCTCGGAACACAATAGATTTCGAAAATTGTCTTCAGAGATTGACGAGTTTACTATGCACCACTCCAACTTGGAATTGTCTATCTCTGATTTTCTCAGGCTGAGAAAAATGTTCCACTAATCTGTGAAAGTTAACAACGAGTAACATATAAGTAACTTGTTTTTTAATAATCTGTATAATTCTTTGAATACATATAAAATTTAATGAAACGAGGGTTTTTGTTTCAGTCAAAACTTTTTATAGGATGCGATCGTACGGCTCGAAAATTCTCTAATACAAAGCTCAGGATCAACAGGACTAGGACTGATATTCTTTAGAACCATCTTTGGAACAATCTTTTGCAAGGTTAAACGTGAACTTTTCTTTATTTGTTTTTATATTTCGAACAAATTTTTTAAATATCGACAAGTTCAACAATATATTGAAAAACTCGGAGTTTTGGAAATAAAATCGGAATTAGTACAAGAATTTTATCAAAGTCTTAAATAAACATAACTCATTTCTATAGAATAATAAATATGAAATTGTATAATCTAATTCTTGATAAGAAAAATTCTATCAGGATCAACTTGAAAAAACCTAGGTCGAGATCTCAACGGAACCATCTTTCAGATCTATTAATCGTAATACAAGATCTGCAGAGAAAAATTATAAATTAATATTAAATCTAAGATCGAGTACATATTTTTTCGGATAGTTTGTGGTATATAATTGCTAATAAGTGTTGATATTTATAAAGAGAATGTTGGACTTTTTATTTCTATGAATTACAATCGATATCTTATTATTTATTTTATGAAAACTCATTAGTTATACGTGAAACGTTCTTTTTTATAAGTAAAAAACAATTCTTCTATTTATATATGTAAATAAGAAAATCTTCTTACCAAGATTGTTGAATGTCACGCATTGAAATATTTAAATTCTCATTTAATTGACATAACTTTTCATCAGCCATTAATTCTTTTTCATGATAAGATATTAATCGTTGTTCATAATTTTCATGTTCATTGTCATTATTATTATCATCATCATCATCATTTCCAAGTATTCGTTCAATATCATTGATATGAACTGTTGCTCCATTACTCAATTGACTTAATTCATTAAGAATTTGATTAAATTTTTCCATAAATCGAAAAAATAATATTAAATTATCATTTATCTTATCAAGATAAACATTTTTCTTTTTCGGTGATAGAATACTCATCTAAAATAAAAGAAAAATTGCTTTATTAAATATTTTTTTACATATTCAAAATATCAAAATTTATGTTGATGATTTTATTTTTTCATTCTGTTCTTGATGTTTTTTATAATATTCTTCTCGTAAATGTTCAACAAAATCATGTAAACGTCGCATTTCACGTGTACCAAATATTGTACTTGGTCGAATTGAACGAACATGACGAGCAGCTTCTTCTGGTGTCATCCCATATGTATCAATTAAATAACATGCTACTAAATTAGCACTACGTTGACGACCAGCTTTACAATGTATATATGCTCTTTTGTTTTCTTGACGTACTGTTCGAAGAAATTCAATACCATGAAAAAGATTTTCAACTTGAGGATTTGAAAAATCAACTGTAGGTAAACGTAAATGTTGAATTTCATGTTTAGTCCAAAGATTTGGATCGGATACATATCTAAAAAAATAAATATATCATCAAATTGTGCAAGGTATTTCTAGTCAAGGCTATTGATTTTTCAAAGACTGGATCAGCGTATATGTATATCATTCGTATTAAATCATAGATCAATGGTAAATAATATACATTAATAGATCTGAACTATTCTGAGACCGGAAACGCCTTGATGCATCTTCCACCTCGGCAAGGTTAAGTCATTGTGTATAAATCTCACGATAATTCAATGAAAACAAATAGCAAAAAAGTAAGATATTTCATGAATAGACACAATAACGAAATTATAGTTTATTATGATTTATTAATGAACAACAGAAACAGTTCTTGATTAGATTAATAAAAGTTCTAAAAGGATTTTACTCATGTTCGTAGTACAACTTCTTTTTCTTGTTTAATTCTCTTGAGTTTCATATTACTCGATTATAAGAATTTAAGAATTTCTAAATTATTCATAGCAGCGAATGTTAATCATCGAACAAGTATAGGCTTTGTTTTTCTGATTGGTTTGTGTGATATAAACGGTTCATTTTATTGACGATAAAAATTTTATAATGAACGAGTATCACATTTTAAGCTTGAGGCCTTCCTCCAAAAAATATTCAAAACTCATGAGTGAATATCCCTAAGTATCCGGCCGCTTTTCGATTGAAACTGTATTTCAGGCGAGAGGCCATAGTGAGTAATATAAAAACCGAAATATGTTCGATTGTTTGAGCAATTATTCTTAAGATATCGAATTTCAACTTGAAATTTTGTACAAATGAAGCTCTTAATGACACTAGTTCATTGTGAAAATTTTGTTGATTTAAGTATTTTAAATTTTCACCAGATACTTTTTGACATTTTATATAAAGTATGAAGGTTAGACAGTATATGGCTTGAGGTATTCATTGAAAACAAACACTCACTATTGAAACATTCATAGAGAAATAAATGCAAAGAACTCAGACTCATCTATGCTACCATATCTTTTATAGTTTAATTTCCTTAATAATCATGTTTAAACCTATCAGTCATTCCATTTTTTTGTATCTCTTTTTTTTTTACTTCCAATATACATGTAAGCAAAATTAATAGTATATTTGGAAGTAATTAACAAAACTACAGTGAGCAATTCAAAAATAAAGAAATTCTCTACACTAATACTCAAATGATTAATAAAAACAACACTCACGTTAATTCATAATCTTCATTCATTGATATAACAGCATCAACTTTTTCATGTTCAATTAAATATTTTTGTAAAGCAATTGTTGGTAATATACCAATATAAACTGTTTCATCAATACGATCATAACTTTTTCGAATACCTAGATATGATAATAAGTGAGTGTACCTAATAAAATTCTATGTAAATAAATAATTAAACAACAATTTTCTATTACCCATAACTTGGTAAAAAAAATAATCGAGCTAAATAAGGACCTATTAAAGGCATTTATAATTTCATTAATAAAAAAAACAGATTAATATCCTTGATGGAAAAATATTCGGTACTCCTCAATAAATTGTATTTATTTATTGGCTTTTTGTATAGATCAATCCAATTCTGTTTCAAACTCCTCTATGTTTAGTAAACAGAGGCCAGTAGGCAAAAATATCAACCAATCAAATTATTTATTTGTTCGTCAGTCAGTCATTCATATACCTTCATTTACTATTTACTATTGTTTTCTTTTACTTAAAAAAAAAAGTAGAATCTTTAATTTTATCCTTCAGATTTTTTTTCATCGAATTAATCATGGTGAAAATTATGAAAACCCAAAAAGTTGTCATTGTCTTAGGAGGCCGCTATGCTGGTCGCAAAGCTGTGATAATCAAAGTAAAAAGTTTCTTTTTCTTTTTTTGTTTTGTTTTTCTATCAAATTAAATTTACTTAATAATAATTTTTATATTGTTTAGCCATATGATGAAGGTAGTAATGAACGAGGTTATGGTCATGCACTTGTTGCTGGTATTTCTCGTTATCCACGAAAGGTAACAAAACGTATGGGAAAGAAAAAACAAGCACGTCGTAATAAAATAAAACCATTTGTTAAAGTTGTTAATTATAATCATTTAATGGCTACTCGGTAAATACAAAACATTTTTTTTGTTAAAATAAAAAGAAGTAAAATTTTTTTTTCTCCAGATATACTGTTGATATTAACTTTGAAAAAAGTTTAATCAATAAAGAAATCTTTCGTGATGCTGGCCTTCGACGAAAAGCTCTTCGAGATGTTAAAGAAAAATTTGAAGAACGGTAAAAAAAGAATAGCTTGTTTTTGAAAAAAAAAAGCAAGAATTTTATTCTTTTGTTTAGATATAAAACGGGCAAACACAAATGGTTCTTTCAAAAATTACGATTCTAAGCAATAAAATTGTCATCATGCGGCAATATTTAACATCCGATCATATCCGCTCTGTTTGTTTTCTGTTTTGATCGTTCATGTATTTGAAACAAATAAGAAAGAAAAAAAAATAGAACATATTAAAACTTTAATATATAAATTTATAGAAACATCATCATTATCATTGAATATTCTACTCTGAAAATACTATAAACGATAAATCAAAATCAGTTGATCGTCAGGTTTTTTGTTTAAATATTTGAATATTGATTGTGTCATCTGTTATAAAAACAAACAAATAGTTGATGATGAATCAAAAATTTTCGTCTTCAAAATTGAAATTGAGATAAATGCATGGGAGGATAGTTCGAGGTTTGATCTTTTTATCTAGCACTTCTATAAATCGACGACCATATTGCAAGGTATTGAACTTGTCATTGAGTTTCTCCGCTTAAAAAAGGCTCTGTATCGTGATATGCTCATTCAAATAGAAAAACAATTAAGTATACAGAATAAAGGCTTGCAGAGAATTTGATGTTGTCGAATGTGTTATTTTTAGCCCTTGTTTGTTAAATATCTCCTGAAGATGTCATGATATGATGTCAAAAATTTTATTATAACCTATCTACTACAGTCTCAACATATTCTACAAATTTTCATGCGATTTGAATGCATTTGTTCAAGATCGATTTTTGAGCGATGGCTCAACGATGCTCCTCTCTCTTTCCAGAGTTTATGCAGAACGGCTTATTAGAAAAATTTCAAATTTTCAGCGTAGATAGATCTTGACGAGTACAGCAAAATTTGTCATAGACTCAACGTTCCCGGATGCTTCGTTCGATTGAGCTGATTTTTTTAAAGGCACTAAACAATGTTTGGAGTTGATATCTTTTTTGACTTTCAAATAGTAAAGCCAAAATATTAAAGGTGTCCTAAAAAACGCATGTTTTTTTTTTTGAAATAAAAAATTACCCATCACAAATAATGTATAGTATAGGGTGGGTGTGGATAATGGATGTTAGTCTCCTCTTTAATAACATCCAAAGCCACAATAACTCTAAGAATTTCTACAGTCTCAATAGTTTCGAACAAATATTCCCAGATAATAACTTTTAAAAAAGCTTCTCCGAATCTAATATTTTTTTCTAAAATTGCCTCAGACTTAAAAAAATTTTCCGAAACGTGTGTTCGGGCACGCGGGCAAATTTTGAACCTTTGATTTAGATTGACTTGCTCAATTGGAATGAAATCTAGTCTATATAAGTCATAAAATTGTTGCACATTTTTGCCTTGATAATCAAAGTTTTAAATAAGTTCAATGATAAACTTTTTCCGAAACAATTCTTATTTTCTGATGCTCTTTTTATCATCGAACAGATATTAGATTAGTCTTTCTTAGCTTTTGATTATGACTACGAATAAATAAAAATTAGCCGAGTAAAGAACACACTAGATTAAAAATGATTTTTTTACAATAATCAAAATAGAACCATAATATAATATATTACAATATCAATAAAACTAATCAATCCATCAATGTTTTTTGGTGCACACGTAGAAACGATCATCATTCTGGATTGTCGATACTGTTCGATTATTTTCCTTCAATCAAAATAATATTTCAGATTGAGTAGTTTCATCAGAGATCAAACAAAAAAAAGGATAGGACTGAAAAAAATACTTTTATTAAAATATTTTGTCTTTTTTAAAAGAAAAGTTTATGATGGTTATAGGATTGAGAATCAAAAATATGATGAATAATTTTTGCAAAACTTGGTCTTGCTGCCAATAGTTTTCGTTCAATTACTGAACTCATTTCAAAGCAAAGGGCTTATATTACTAACATAATCTTAAGTTATGAGGTAGATGCATCATTTCGATGAAGATTCTGTTCAGTTTTTGTTTTAGTTTGTTTCTAGCCAATATTATAAATTATTTTTTTCTAGTCAATTATATGTTGTGAAACGAAAAAAGAAAATATTTATTAAATTGGTGAAAATGAAAAATCTATCATATTCACAGCTGTATGAAACATTAACAGATTTTTTAATGAAATCTCAAATTTAAGATTTTTTTTTGAGAAACCAACTTTTAAAAATTAGAGAGGCATTTTTTCTAGGTAATTCCATGTGGTTCTATTCAATTATACATAAAAAAACGAAAAGAATGGTGGAGAAATTTTGTGTTTTTTGCAGCTTACAAAAAAAAATATATTGAATGACTTGTCTCTTCCAAGTAGAATTTTTTTTGATGATTGACTCACTCAAATTGAAATCATTATTTGAAGATGACAGTTCAATAAAATTACTGCAATGGCCATAATACTTATGAATAGTGTCCTGCATGACTAACATGTTTTTGGTTACAATCACGAAAAACAATTCGTGTTTAAACATCTTTAGAGAAAAATTCTTTACGGTATAACAGTATTATCTATATGGTATATTTCATTGACCGCCATCAATACGAACAGAATGAAATAGTTGAAGGTGCTTGTTTTCCGTATCCTGTGGTATTTCTATTAGTAATTGTACATCTTAAAAGCGATATGCACATAATATCTGCTGCTCCCGAAATACAAACTACTGTATAATTTCTCCAAAAAACAGAGTGTACGACGTACACTTTGTAAGAGAAATTACTTCTTTCCTTCTAATATATTGAAAATTATTTTGAATTTCAAAAAACATGTTTTAACTATAGTATAGAACACGATCTATCAGTTAAAAGTTGTATCTATGTTTATTGAAATGATATGAACATTGTTCTAGTTTTTATTTCTTTACGATTTATGCAACTTCGTTTTTTTTTGTATACTTTGTCCATATAAACAATGTGTAAATATATACATCTTGTATTAGACTTCCAACAGAAAAATTGGTCACAATCACGCAGTTCACTACTCATCAAATTATTTGAAAGATTTGAGTAACAATGAAACTTCGATCTAATATTTTTGAAAAATATTATTTATTTTATATTGAATAAAAAATTTTTAATGTGTAATATTTTACTCGGCAGTCTTTAATCATAAAAACGACTGTTGAGAAAATTTTCGAATAACATTCGAAACAATATAATTCGGATAGAATAGAAAGAAAACAATTATTACTTTTCATGTTACCTTCAGTGAATCATTTGTTGACGATAGCGTTGAAATCAGAGATAAGAAGAAAAAGAATAGCAAATATTATAATAAATGTTTTCAATAATATAATACGAAAATGACAATTTGGAAATTATGTCGAACAATAAAGATTAATTGGCAAATACATTAGAGGAACATAACCAACTACTAATTGACAGATTCAAGCTAATCTGCTCAAATCATCGAGATACATATATGTTTATTGAGATAATAATGTAAATCACATCATATCATTCTTGTTATACTGGAAATAATGATCTTGAACGAAATAAAATCAATAAGATTGATTATATTTCAGTGGTGAAATCTGAAATCGATTCATCTCAAAGGTCATTTCTTCATTGTGACTCATGATGATATCCAGAGTTGTTGTGAGAGCATTAAGATAAGAAGGTGAGTGTGAAGACTATTTTCATATAAGATAAACTAAAAAATATGTCTAGAATATTCTGTTAACTTTCAGAAGACCAGTTTTCAAATAATCAACACTGATTGAAGATCGATAAAAAAACTCGACTCAAATCTATAAGTTCTGTAATATAGAGAATGATAATGTAAATATTTTATATTTTAGCTTCATCAGAGATTGCAATGGCAAGTTGTATTTTGAAAAATTTTGCGAATCTCAGATGGTGAATATATGGATGCGAAGATCAGGAACTTCTATTTACTTACATCCACACAGTGACCGTACAGAATGCTTGTTTTTCAGATTAGTCAATTTTTCTTGATAAATTTTCAAAAAGTAATTATTGATAATGTAAATATTTTTTTGGAGACTATATACTAGCAGAATTGAAAATGAAAAATTTCTCAGTATTTCCAATATATACTTCGACTGTCATTCATTCATTGTTTTCTTGAATTTAAAATTTTGTGCCTTCAAAAACACGTGATTATATTGTAACAATTTGTTTTCTTCTGTCACCTTATTATAACTGTGCACGTCTCTCATTCATG